TGGGTGAGTTAGGGGATAGGGGAGGCCCTTGGCTTAGAGGCCATAAGCTAAGTGTCTGACTGTGTCCCCCACACTGCCCAGGCTTCATTGGTTATGCTCCCAGCCTCAGCAAACTGGTGGCCGAGTGGGAGGGCCAGGACAGCGACAGCGAGCAGCTGTTTTACACTAAGATCTTCTTGGACCCAGAGAAGAGGGTAAGAGCTGGAGGTGGCCAGAGAGAGGAGGCTGGAGTCCTGGCTCTGGGTCCCACTGGCCGGGCTGCACTGCTCACCGTCCCCTGGGCCCGGGCCGCTGGGTCAGTGTCCTAACCCCATGGGCAGCTGTACAGATGGACGAGGGGCGTCTAAGCAGTGCCCAGGGTTCTGGAGGCTGGAGTCCGAGATGAGCATGGCTAGGTTCTTGACTGTACAGTGAAGCGAGAGTCCTTTCCCCAGGGGTGTGGTGAGGATGAGATGAATGTGTATATGCAGGGCACTTAGACTGGTGATTGGCATTGGTCATTACAGTGGCCATCACTCCTTATGGTAGGACCAGCCCCTTCCTCCGTTCCTTCTAGTTCTGAGATCCCCTGATTCTCTGTGAATGGACCCCCAAGACCAGAGACCCCAGGGCATGGCTGCTGGCTGGCCTCCTCAGGGCTGCCGTCACGTGCCAAGGCAGAGAAGTGGGGGACAGGTTCTCCCACTGTGTGCTCAGGCCCCGGCCTCAGCCAGGGCCTGTGTCTGCTGCACCTGGTCCCCTCCTTCCCCCAGGAGCAGATCAACATCACCCTGGACCACCGCTGCCGCATCTTCCAAAACCTGGACGGAGCCTTGGGTGAGCGGCCCCTGGGGTCAGTGGGAGCCCTCTTCCGGGTGGGCCCCCTTCTTCCCTGCTCTCCCACCTTCCAGGTGAAGGATTCCTGGGTTGGGGTCCTGGGTTGCTGGAAGGGAGAGGAGGGATAGCACTTGAAGGGGCAGACACCTCTGGCCTGGGCTCCTGTCCGCGGCTGGTGATGACGTTGCTTTGCTTTGTCACGGGTCTTGCTGGGTGATTTCCGGCGTGACTCTCTCTCCCTGAACAAACACACACACACACACACACACACACACCCCGAGTTCCCGTTTCCTATCTTTAAAAATGGGAAACGGCTGGGTACAGTGGTGCTCGCCTGTAATCCCAGTGGCTCCGGAGGCTGAGGCAGGAGGATTGCAAGTTCAAGGTCAACCTGGGCAACTTAGACCCTGTCTCAAAACAAAAAATAAGAAGGGCTGGGTTGTGTGGCTCGGTGGAAGAGTACCCCTGGGTTCAATCCCAGTTAAAAAAAGAAGAAGAAGAGGAAAAAGCAAAATGCAGAACCATTGTCCTCCTGCCTGTGCTTCTCAGGCTCTGGGACCCAGGTTAAGAGCTGGGCCGGGCCCCTCCGTTGGCCTTCGGGAGCTTGCACAGAGGGGCTGTCCTCGTGGTTACCCCCATGGAAGGCCTCCCTCCCTGCATCCTCTCAGGCCACTGAGAAGAAAAGACCTCTGTGCATTTTATACCGACTGCAGCGCCCCCCCCATTCCCCTCCGTGCAGAGTACCAGGGATCTCCTGCCCCGCGCTCCTGGTTTGCCTGGTATATTCTGAGTGCTCCTCTCGTGACTGGAGCTGGGGTGTCCTGGGCTTTGTTCTCCTGTCCCCACTTCTAGTTCCATTAGGACGTCATAGGTGTGGGCTCGTGGATTCTGTGCTCACGCCGCGTGCCCCTGTGGTGCCAAGTGCTGGCCGGACACAGGATCCTCCCACTCACCTCTGAGGAAGGGATCTGCCCCGCATTACAGATGAGGAAACTGAGGCTCGGAGAGGTGACACGGGGTGTCACCTGCTGGCCCCTGGGCTTGGCCTCTGGGTCTGACCCTGGATGGCGCTTTGCCTTCTGACCCCTAGATGAGGTGGTGCTCAAGTTTGAAATGGGCCACGTGAGAGCGCGGAACCTGGCCTACGACACACTCCCGGTCCTGATCCACGGCAACGGGCCCACCAAGGTAGGGAGGAGCCCAGCCTCTGGGAGAAGGGCCACTGCTTCCACCTGGCATCGGAGTCCATTCCTCCTGTGCTCAGTTGGGAGTCCACTGTCCCCACGTGGGCCTCGGCAGTGCTGCCAGCGCTGTCACAGTGTTAGCCGGGGGCAGAGTCCTTTACTCTCTCCGTGGGCATTTATTGACTTTTTCCACCGGAGGCCAAGTCATGGTCAGTTGCACAGAGGACAGATGGTTCCCGTGTTCGTGGTGCCGTGCAAGGGCCTGGGGCACGCTCTGCCTGGGGACAGGATGGACCTAAGTCGCTCCTGGGGAACTGGCCCATGGCTCCTAACATTTTTCTCTGTCTGTCCTCGGCCACCTGCATCAGAATGGCAGGACAGGGAGGAAGGGAGTGTGTAAAAGATGGAGGTTTCCTGACTGCACCTGGGATCTGCTCCCCTGGTACTCTGAGGGATGGGGACCGTGACCAACAGGTTCTCCCTCTGCACCGCCCTGCAGCTGCTGTGCACTCTGGGGGATGGGACATTGTCACCAAGACCCACTCAGGGCAGGAGAGGGCTCACCAGGGACCCAGGGAGGGCCCTTCATGACTGTTGGTCGGGGAGGCCAGTGGGCGGGCTCCTCTCCATTCCCGGGTCCCCTCCACAGCTGCAGCTGAACTACCTGGGCAACTACATCCCTCGGTTCTGGACCTTTGAGACGGGCTGCACCGTGTGTGACGAGGGCCTTCGCAGCCTCAAGGGCATTGGGGTGAGGCTATGGCCATCCCTGAGCTTAGGGACATTCAGGGCTCAGTGCTCCAAGGTGGGCAGGAGGATGGGTGGTTCTGGAACAGACGTTGGCTCTGGTGGGAAGTAAAGGGGTCACCCCGTGTCTGGCTGCGTCCACACTGGGCACTTGGTGGCCACCTAGTGGCTGGAAGCTCCTGGACCCTTAGCCACCCCTCCCCCACGCAGGATGAAGCTCTGCCCACGGTCCTGGTCGGGGTGTTCATTGAGCAGCCCACGCCGTTCCTGTCCCTGTTCTTCCAGCGGCTTCTGCGGCTCCACTACCCGCGGAAACGGATGCGGCTTTTCATTCACAACCATGTGAGTAGCAGGCACCCTGAGGGTCTTCGTGTGGCTTGGGGTAAGGGGACAGCGTCATGAGCTGGCCTGAGCCCTCTGAGGATCTGACTGAGCCATGCTTATCTGAGCCAAACGGAAGTCATTGTGGCAGTGTCCCCAAATCACTAGTTGACTCTGGAGTCAGAGGGCTGGGCGTGAATCCCAGTAAGACTGCTTTTATTGACTGTGTGACCTTGGGCACATCCCTCAACCTCTCTGGGCTTCTGTTTTCTCAACTATAAAGTAGGGATAATAATAGCACCAACCACATAGAATTGCTGCAGGGTTTAAGAAGGTTACCTCCAAAAAGAACCTAGTGTGGAAGAGGCACGACATAGTACGTGTTCTTAGCTGCTGTCATTTTCGTTTTGTCCCCTCCCATGCTGCCCCAGCTAATGCTTTCTAACTTGATCTTATGATGTCAAGGTGGATTTTGCTCCTTAGGTTCCTCCCGGGGAACCGCGGAGGGCCTGAGGCTGCTCTTTGGGGAGCGGGCCTGGTTCCACTCCAGCTCCTGCCTTTCTGCTCTCCTCCTGCCTCTCAGCCTCTGCTCTGACCATCTCCCGGCTGTGAAGCCAGTTCCCGCCCAGTCCCGTGTGTTCCGCCGGGCTCTGTCTTCCAGAGTCTTCTCAGCCAGCTGCAGGCTCCCACTTCCCAGTGCTCTCAACCCCTCCAGTGTGCACCCTGCCCCCAGGGACGCAGCTCAGCTCCTTGCCTAGGTCACCAACATGCATGTCACCTGTTTCCTGCACCCCCAGGAGCAGAAGGCGTGTGGGCCCCGCTTGGCAAGGCTCTCAGCCTCCCTGGAGGGCCCACCCATGAGCTGTAGCTATATAGAAAAGAAGAAGTGTCACAGGTGGTCTTGAGACCTACTGTGTGCTGTGTCTGACTCACAGTGACCTGGGGAGGGATGTCCTGCCCTTCTGTAGAGGAGCAAGCTGAAGTGGAGAAGGCCAAGGGACTTGTCCGGGGTCACACACTCAGCATGACGGGGCCACGCTTGGTCTGAACCTTGAATTGGAGCCTGAAGACTCTGCTGTTTCCGCACACCTTATGACAGGGCTCCTGGTCTGGGCTCTCATTGGCCAGGTTGTGGCCAAGGGTCATGTGGTGCAATTTGTAGCAGAGCATTTTCCTGAGCCGCGCCCAGGCCCGCGTGGACGGTGTCTCTGTGCGTGGGCCTGGGGCTGGGTGGGATGCTGTTCTGGCGTCAGAGGCCCTGAAGAAGCCTGCAGGCCTGGCCTGGTCAGGGAGGATGCTCCAAGATGCAGAGGAGGGCAGTCCAGGCAGAGGGCCTGGCCTGGGCAGAGTCTGGAGATGGGAATGCAGGTAACCAGCCATGTGCCGAGGTGACGGGGAACAGCCCGGCAGTGACCGCGGGGTTGTGGTCCCTGGGGTGGAACCTGAGTCCTCTCCTCCCCCTGCCACCTGCCCCAGGAGCAACACCACAAGGCCCAGGTGGAGCAGTTCCTGGCAGCCCATGGCGGCGAGTACCAGTCCGTGAAGCTGGTGGGCCCCGAGGTGCGGCTGGCCAACGCGGACGCCAGGAACATGGGCGCGTGAGTCACAGGCCGTGGTTGTCTGCGCTGACCGTGGCGGGCAGAAGGGCCGTGGTGTCAGGAGCCGCAGGCCGGGCATCAGGAGCCCAGGAGCTCTGGGTGACCAGTGTGTTTCGGCCTTTTCCCGGGCCTCAGAGTTCCCGTCTGTCACATAGGGAAATGGTCCCTTTCCTGTCAACCTCTGGGCTCTCGAGCAGGCGGAACACTGTCATTTGGGTGCAGAAAGCAAACTAGGAAAAGAGGAAGAGCTGGAGGGTCAGAAAATGACAAAAGCTGACATTAAGGAAAACAACTTCTGGGTTTTTTTTTTGCCTTTACTATGAAAAAGGCAAAAACACACAAAAAAAGACGCAAGTAGTTTGTGTTGATTGTAGAAGAATCCAGATCAGGGTTGGCCAACTTCCTCCAAAGCTCTAGAGTGTAAACGGATTTGCCAATCGGCTTTGTGGGGTCATCGGTTGCAACTGCTGGGCTCAGTCCTTGCAGCACAGTGCCAGTCACAGATGTCATGTAATGAATGACTGGGACCGCGCTTTATTTAGGGACACTGAAGTTTGACTTCCACGTAATCTTCTGATGTTCTTTTTTCTGCCCCAGTCATTGAAACACAGAACATCATTTTTTTTCACTCATAAGCAGTTCAAAACCAGGCAGTGGGAAGATTTGGTCCAGGGACCGTAGATTGCTGAGCCCTGATCAGATGAAAGAAAAGGACACGCTTTTTAGTTGATTTATTCACTTGCAGCGCTGGGGACGGAAACCAGGGCCTCCCTCATGCTAAGCAAGTGCTCTACCACGGACCAACACCTCCAGCCCCCGTTTTTAAGGCATTTGGTACAAGTTACCCAAATGCCCTCCAACATCAGCCTCTCCCCTGCCCTGAGCGCGGTGGGGACCTGCGTGGTGGCCTGTGCTGTCCCTTGTACCAGGTTTTCAGGGCACTCGATGCCGGTTGCCAGGCTCTAAGCCTCTGTCTTGTAAGTGCGGAAGCCGAGGGTGGGAGTCTGGGAGTCGGACCGTTGTGGCAGCTGGTCATGCCTCAGGGCTGGCTGACCTCTCTGTGGCCCTTCAGCTGGTACACTGTAAAGCCAAATCATGGTCACAGTTGTGGGCAGCTGCTGGGCGGCTCCAGGACCAGCCTGGCCGACCCGGAGTCCTCCTTTTCCTTGCAGAGACCTGTGCCGCCAGGACAGGGCCTGCACCTACTACTTCAGCGTGGACGCAGACGTGGCCTTGACCGAGCCCAACAGCCTGAGGCTGCTCATCGAGCAGAACAAGTGAGGCTGGGCCCGGGCCCTCCTCGCTCAGGAAAAGCCTGTGCAGGGTGGGAGCCCCTTGGCTTCTCCCCCTCCCCCAGGGCTTGCCTGTGACCTGGGCCACGGGACCCCAGCCCGGGGGCTCGGTGGGCTGGTAGAGAATGGCTGTCCTGTGGTGGGGAGGGACCCGATGGGCCACACGACCCTCCAGGCAGACCCCCACCCCATGAGGTACCCCTGTGAGCAGGTGTCAGCCCCCCACCCCATCCCTGTCAGGTCTGTTTCCTGTCCCACTAAGACGCCCATTTCCTCAGGAACGTCATTGCCCCTCTCATGACCCGCCACGGGAGGCTGTGGTCCAACTTCTGGGGGGCAATGAGCGCAGACGGCTACTATGCCCGCTCTGAGGACTACGTGGACATCGTGCAGGGGCGGCGCGCGTGAGTGCCTGCGGGGCGGGCCACCTTCTTCCCTCTTCCCCCTGGGCTGGCCGAGGCTCCCTCCCCGCGACTCCTGACCTGGTTGCCCTCAAATTTTTCTTGACCCTCAAGCAATGAAAACTGCAGCCAGACACAAAGAAGGACTTCCTGACAATTGCTCTGGGCCCACGTGCCCAGAGTAAGGGATTCAGATCCACAGTATGCTGCCCTCCCAGCCTGTGACCTCCCTTTCCTCCTGGCCCCAGGCCCCTAGCCTCTAAGTCCTTCCACCAGCCTGTGACCCCCGCCGTCTTGCTCTCTCGCCCTCAGTGGTGTGTGGAACGTGCCCTACATCTCCAACATCTACTTGATCAAGGGCAGCGCCCTGCGGTCTGAGCTGCAGCACACTGACCTGTTCCACCACAGCAAGCTGGACCCAGACATGGCCTTCTGTGCCAACGTCCGGCAGCAGGTCTGTGAGGCTGGGTGGCCATGGGGGTCTGTGGGCAGGGGGAGCTGGCCTCCAGCTCTGACCTGCTCAGTGGGCTACCCTGCACTGTAGACCAGGAAGCACCTGAGGGTCCAGCATGGTCACTCAGAGGCCACCAGGGCCACTGTGCCTGGGGGTGGTCCTCAAGGATCTACAGGGACCATTTTGGTCGACTCCATTTTCATGCTGTTTGTATTATTTATATTTTTGTCAAAGCCTAAAGGAAATTAAACTTCCCCCTAAATGTCGTCTAAGTAAGATATCCAGGGGCCCCACACTCCATCTCTGCTTCCCAGCACCCCCTCCCCATATTTCTTGGTGATTTTTTTAGTGGGGTCTGGGAATGGGCCCAGGTCTCGTGTGTGGGCAAGTGCTCTACCACTGAGCTGCATTCCCAGCCCCGGGGATGATTTTTTCTGATACTGGGGTTGGAACCCAGGGGCACTTTACCACTGAACTCTATGTCCAGTCCTTTCTAAAAAAATTTAAAGCCTTCCTTGATTGCCTCCTGGATGCTGGTCCTAGGCCAAGTGCTGGGGGCCCAGGGGCAACCTGCACTTATCTATCCTTCCTGGGGACATGCAGGGCAGGGGTGGGCCAGGGCTTCTTCAATCATGCCTGTTGTCCCCAGGAGGTGTTCCTGTTCCTGACCAACCGACACACCTTTGGCCACCTGCTTTCCCTGGACAGCTACCAGACTACCCACCTCCACAGTGATCTCTGGGAGGTGTTCAGCAACCCCGAGGTGAGTCCTGGGGTGAGTGGAAAGGGCTGGGAACAGAAGGGACTCCCCTGATCCTGTGGCCTGTAGGCTACCTGCGTCACCCCCTCCCTCTGCCCTGGGGGCTGGTAAGGGCAGAATTCGGGTCAGGAGGGTCCCTCAGAGACAGCGCCACCTAGTGGAGGAGGGACCAGACCGCAGAGGCCTTCTTTTGAGGCCCAGATCTGTCAGCTGTGACTTGGTCAAGACCCTCTTACCTTTTGGGCCTTGATTGTCTTGGTTTGTCTTGGCTGTAGAATGGGTATGCTACCTCAGCCTGTCTTGTCCCTGAGGGCGTCATCATGATCAAAGGAGACAGTTGGGACAATGTTCCTAGATGGTGGGAGCTTATAGTTGACATGGGCATTTTGCACATACACATATACACAGACAGGCATGTTCATACGTGTGCAAAAACCATGTCCTGTGGGCACACGTGGGTGCCCAGACGGCACACCCTCACACATGGGCAGAAGCGAGCACATACCTACCCCAAGCCTGTATGCAGCCACTTACATGTTGAGGAGCCCGTCAGAAGCTCCCTTCTTGGAGCGTCCTGTGGTTTGAGCAAGTGGTGAGCCCCTGGCTCAGGCCAGACCCGAGGGCCCAGCCTGGTTCCCACCCTACAGGACTGGAAGGAGAAGTACATCCATGAGAATTACACCAAGGCCCTGGCGGGGAAGCTGGTGGAGACGGTAAGCTCCAGATTCACACTCGGGCCTGCTGCCAGGGCCTCCCCTTCTGCTGGGCCTTCACCTGCTGCTGGGTGAGGGGTGACAAGAGGAGTTGGTGGCGGGATGGGCCCTCCGTGAGCCTGCAGGGGCCTCAGGGCCCGTAGGCCTCTTCCCTGGCCGAGGCCTGCAGAGGGAAACACATCTGAATGGGTCTCTGCTGTGGCCCCTGTGCCAGCTGAGGAGTGGCTGTCTGTCCTGTCTTCCATGTCCGTTCCCCTGGGGCCCTCGGTGTGCACGTTCCTTTGTGATGCTGTTCTGGTAGCTCTGTGAGCTGGCTGGGCAAGCCCATCTTGAGCTCTGCCTCCCACTTTCAGTAGCTCACCTGGTCTGAGAGTCACTGCTGCTCGGAGTCACTCAGGGGTCCCAGAGGGCTCTGAGGTGTAGTGGACGTGAGCTCCCTAGGGGCCCTGCAGCAGGCTCAGCATCATAGGGAAGATGCAGGGGTCGCCCTGCAGCCCTCTGAGACTGGGCCCTCGCTCTCTCCAGCCCTGCCCCGATGTCTACTGGTTCCCCATCTTCACTGAGGCAGCCTGTGACGAGCTGGTGGAGGAGATGGAGCACTATGGCCAGTGGTCGATGGGCGATAACAAGGTAGGGCTCCAGACGTCGGGGCCGGCCTGCAGGGGCTGCCCCTCTGCCCGCACTGCTTTCTGGGCTCTTCTTCTGGTTACATAGCCAGTGTCTCTGGGACTCTTCACATAGGAGCGCTGGCTGGGGTGCCTGCAAGGCAGTCAGGAATAGAGGGAACAGGAGACTGGGTGGAGGGTCGGTCCCCAAGCAGCCATTACCACCGTGTGACTCTGAGCTGCCTTAACTGAGTTGCTGGGTTTTCAGGTCCTGGCTTATTATTAGAATGGTTTAGCTTCCTGCCTGACTTGTGCATGGAAGAGGAGAGGAATAGGCAAGTGTGGGGTGAGGGGCCTCAGGACGTGGTGGTCAGGGCCAGGTTCATCAGCCATCCTCTGCAGGGCCTGGCGGACATGTGTTCTCTGAAGCGGGAATCCCATCCCCGCACTTGCCTGGGACACTCAGGCTCTGCTCGTAAAGGCACAGGAGATCCTGAGCCAGTGTGCCTCAAAGGTTGGGCTGCCTTTGATCTGGCAGCTGGACTGTCCTGTGGTTCTGGTTGCCTGCCCAATCCTTGTGCTTTGGTGGCTGGGCAAGTCTCCAGAACCCAGGAACTGGAATAGCTCATGCATTCTGGGGTTTCTTGTGCTCCAGTGACAGGGCCAGTCCTTGGACCCCCCCCCCCACCTGAGCTAACTAGCCCATGGAACTAATTATCTGTGTCACGTGGCTAATGACCACAAGCTTAGTGGCTTTGAAAACACCCATTTATCATCTCCTGGTGTCTGTGGGCCAGAATCTGGCTTAGCCGGGTCCTCTGCTCAGAGTCTCACAAAGCTACAGTTGAGGGTCAGATGGGGTTGGTGTCTCCTCCGAGGCTTAGGGTCCTAAGCTTAGGGTCCTGGTTGGCAGGTTCCTGTGCCTGCAGCTGGAGGACATAAGGCATCTGGCTTGTTTGAGGCCAATGGGAGCCACAGTCTCTCTCCAAGACCTTCCCCCTCAGGTCTGGTCCACCCAGACTCCCTTTCGATTAACCCCAAGTTAACTGATTTGGGGTCTTACATCAGCAAAACCCTCTGCTTTTGCCATATAATGTAGCAAAGCTCCATCCTATGCCCAGGCCAGGGGAGGGGCTCAGAGCCTACATGCCAGGACATGGGGACCTGGGGGACTGTCCTAGAATTCTGCTGCCACGTTCTCTCTGGTCGCTTCCAGGACAACCGCATCCAGGGCGGCTATGAAAACGTGCCCACCATCGACATCCACATGAACCAGATCAACTTTGAGCGAGAGTGGCACAAGTTCCTGGTGGAGTACATCGCCCCCATGACGGAGAAGCTCTACCCGGGCTACTACACCAAGGTGCGCCCTCCGTGCAGCCAGACGTGGGCGGGTGGAGTGTCTGGGAGGGGCGGGGCCAGGTGGTGGGCGGAGTACCTGTGAGGGCGGGGCCAAGTGAGTGGGTGGGGTTCTGGGGAGGGTGGGGCCAGATGGATGGGCAGGGTTCTGGGGTGAGGTCCGTTGAGGGTGGGCAGACAGCAGCCCCAACTTCCTGCAGAGGCCCAGATTTGTGGTTACCAGGAGGAGCAGGGTCTCCCCATCATAGGAGTATCGGGTGGGGATGCAGGGCCAGGAGATGGGGCCTTGGGGTGACCAGGTCCCAGGAGGACACTGCCCTAGCTACTCACCTTGCCCCTTTTGAATCCCTCCTCTGTCCTTAAACCTTGGCTCTGGTTGGTACACCTGCCCACCAAGTGAACCCCCCAGTTGGCCTGCGGGTACACCCAGTCTGCCCCTGGGTTTCTCTCTAGCGCCATCGCTCCTTTCTGTCCACCCCATCTCTGGCTCTCTCTCTTGCTCACTCAGCTGCTTCCTCCTCCCCGTGGTTCTGTCCACCTGGCCTGTCTGCATGGTGGCCGAGAGGGTGCTGAGGGTTAGGTTCCTTCCTCCTCCTCCCTCCCCTCTTCCCTCCTTTTACATTCTTGCTTTTGCTTTCCTCCCCCTCCTTGCCCCCCTTTCCCTATATTTTTCTTGAGGCTCTTCTGTGCCAGTGCTGTTCCTGGCACAGGAGGAGGTGACCCTGGGAGCTGCCATGCCAATACATTGGACTGGGCCCTGCTGTGTACCCTGCCCCTCGGGGTCCTCGGCAGCGTCTCTTGACTGGCGCCTACCCTTGACTGTCCCTCTGCTCTGGCACAGGCCCAGTTCGACCTGGCTTTTGTGGTCCGCTACAAGCCCGACGAGCAGCCCTCGCTGATGCCACACCATGACGCCTCCACCTTCACCGTCAACATTGCCCTGAACCGGGTGGGGGAGGATTACGAGGTGAGCAGGGGCCAGGCCACAGGGCAGAGCGAGGGTTGGCTGGAGAGCATTGTGCAGGTGACGGAGGCAGAGGAGCCTGCCAGGTCAAAGGGCCAGAGGGAAGGGCTGCCGGGTGTGTGGAGGGGGCTTCCTGGAAGAGGTGGGTTTGAGGCACTACTTGGCAGGAGGGAGGGGACTTTTGAGGGGACAGCCTCAACTCTAGGAGATCTGGAGCTAGATTGCTCTGTGGCCTTGCCTCATTTCTTGGCCTCTCTGTTTCCTGTGTCTGAGTGCGCTCCCTGGAGTTGTGAGAACAGTTGAGGTCGTGCAGGGAGCCATGATAGGCTCTCAAGGAAGGGCCTCACGGGTGATAGGGAGCTTGGGTTCTCCTGTGGGAGGGGAGGGGGCTGCCTTGGGAGTGGCAGGGGATGGCATCGTCTAGGTATGGGGCACAGGCTTGCAGCTGGGGGGAGAGTTGAGGACGGTGGGAAGCTGTGGGGCCTCTGGGCCCATGGGGGCCTCTGCATGTGGTCAGTTAGGGAGCTGGCCAGGCTTGCCGCCATCCTCTCCTTAAGCTACTATTTTTGAGGTGTTTTTTTTTTTTTCTTTTGGCCCAGGGGTGGGCCAAAAAAATTTGTAAAAACTCTTCAAAAACAGTTCAA